ACAGAATGTTTGGATTCAATTTTTTTTTCTGCCAAAAACATCACATCGAATGTTTGACACATATATGGAGCATTAAATGTGGATGAAAAAATCAATTGCATAGTTCGCATGTAAATTATGAGACGAATCTTTTGAGCCTAATTACGTCATGATTTGACAATATAATGCTACAGTAAACATTTACTAATGATAGATTAATTAGGCTTAATAAATTCATCTTGCAATTTACATGCAGATTCTGTAATTTATTTTATTATTAGTTAATATTTAATACTTTAAATGTGTGTTCGTGTAATTTTAAAAAAAATTGGTAAGGAACTGAACACAACCAGAGATGTCCATGAGGTGAGGGGGTGTGGCCCAGCTCGGTTGGCCAGTAGTTGAATGCACATTTATTCTCCTCGCCACTGCAGAAGCATTTAGCAAGTGTCCCAATCCTGGATTCAAGCTGCAGCGAGTGGGATCGAGAGAGGAGAGGAGAGGGGATGGAGGGGCCTGCACCAGCGACACGCCACTGTTGCGGAAGCTAACCATAAATTGGAAATGGTTAAAGGCAGCAGCGTCTCGCCACTGACGCGGAGTACGTGCATACGCGGTTACTCACACGCCTATAGATAGCTAGTAGTAGCTCGCCTGTGTGTTATCCTCTCGCAGGTTTCAGAGAGCTACAAGCTTGCAGCGAAGGCAATACAGTAGTAACAAAAATCGCCCCAGATCCTTCTCTCGTTTCGTCCGGCCGTGGCCAGGAGGACACAGGTAAGGTAAACAGGTTGCTGCACGTACAGTTTCAGGCTTTCAGCTGTTCCTGTTTCATTTTCGAGAATACGCAGGACGGCGTATCTCTGTACTCCTACGTACCAAGGTGTTTCTGTGTTTTGGTGGTGTTTGGATCCAAAAACTAAACTTTAGTCCATGTCACATCGGATTTTAGATACTAATTTGGAGTATTGAACATAAACTACTTACAAAACTAATTGCATAAATGAAAGCTAATTCGCGAGACAAATTTTTTAAATCTAATTTATCCATAATTAGCATATGTTTACTGTAGCATCACATAGGCTAATTATAGATTAATTATGTTCAATAGATTCGTCTCGCGAATTAGTCCAGGGTTATGAAATGGGTTTTTTCATTAATCTAAGTTTAATATTTCTAATTAGTGTCTCAACATCCGATATAATAGGGACTAGAAATTTAGTCCCGGGATCTAAACAGGACCACCTCCAGACTTTCAGTTGTTCCCAGGCGACTATGCAATCATGCACACGCAGCTTTCCTTTTCTCTTAAGGTGAGTACTGCAAAGCATTTGCTGATGAGATTATCGCCGATATTTACACTTCCCTGATGCTGCGAACACAGCGTAAATTAGTAATCGTCTAATCGGTGTGTGATAAGGAAAATCAAAGCAGTAGCCGAATATGGCTGATAGTACCATGCATGCAATGTGTCATGCCTGGAAAGTTGCAGCTTTGCGACGATTGAGAGGACAATAATAACACAGATCCCAGATCACACTGGTGATCTGCTCGCACAAGTACGTAGCATGCTTGTGCGTGCACGCTAAACCGATCCAATTATTGTCAAAAAAAAATTGACCAGTACTCGTAAGGGGCAGATGGATGCATCAAGCATGGCAAAAGCTGCACTTCCATGTGGAACTAGAGGGCGTAGAGCTGATAGAGAGAGCAGGTAGTGTGAGCTATTTCGTCTTCCTTGAGGACCCCCATGCATTCGATGGCTCCAAACTTGCAATTCCTTTTCGTTGCAGTCAATTCGGAGCAAGCTGATGAGAGAGAGAGAGAGAGAGAGAGTCTCGAAGTGTCGCCATCCTACGGTGGGCTTAGTGAGCATATTACAACAGTACTTGTTTTCACTAGGAAGGACAATGATTAGCGGCAGCTATATACCCTGCCAGCGACCACCATCCAAGTTAGCATGAGTTGACGACGACGTTTCCTTTTCCTTGGGGAAATGAAAAAAAAAGAATCTGAAATTCTGAATCATGTTACTTTCTGTGAGGTGTTACTGTATTCTCGCATACAGGAGTATTTGCTTCTGAATTCGCGATGCCAAGTTTAAACCCATGCTTCTGGTAGCATGGGAAATATGGTGTGAGCGGAACAGACAAGTATTTCGAAATCAGCAAAAACCCCTACCACAGCTACTAGACAAGATACATGACGCAATCAAGCTATGGAAGATATGTGGAGCAACAAATATTGCGAGATTATTCGCCTAGGATGTTTATTTTATTGTTTAGTAGCTTCTTCTTTCCTCTCCCTTTCTCTCTTTCACCGTTCTGGTGATCTTGTAAATACTTTTTTCTCCCATACTTAATATAACACTAGCTTTGCTGGCTTCAGTTTTTAAGAAAAAAAAAGGCAAGTTTAAACCGGATCGAGTTTAAACAATTTTGCATGAGCACTAAGGCCGAGTTTAGTTCCAAACTTTTTCTTCAAACTTTTAATTTTTCCATCACATCAAAACTTTTTTACACATATAAATTTTTAATTTTTCCATCACATCATTTTAATTTTAACTAAACTTTAAATTTTAACGTGAATGCACCCTAGCTAGTTGCCTGCAAGGTCGTACGTACACACGAAGCTAGGCAGTGCACTGACGGATGTGAAGCCGACATGGGCACGGCGCCACGGGCATCAATTCAACTCCGACAGGAAAGGACTCCGTGTTTGTCCCTCGCAATCGCGTCTCACCGTGCTGAGATCAACAACATACTCAAGCTCATGTTGCATGCAGACACACAGTCACATGCAGCGATGCATCGCTAGTGACTAGGTCGACGATGTTTGAAGGAAGAATATCCCAGTTTCCGTATATAAAGTACACCATTTTCTCCGCTTGATCTGCAGTTAATTACTCACTGCTCCACAACGTGGAACAATCGCTTCCCGTCCCACATGTATAGTGCCATTCTGCTGTGCATAATTAACTTCAGAAGCTTCAGATATAAGGAGTTCATGGCTTCATGCCAGTTGATAATGAGATTTTCAGTATTGGTATTGAAGAAACTAAAGGCCATGTTTAGTTGGCTAAAATTTTTTTTTTTAGATATCACATCGGACGTTTGACCGGATGTCAGAATGGGTTTTCGGACACGAATGAAAAAACTAATTTCATAACTTGCCTGAAAACCGGGAGACGAATCTTTTAAGCCTAATTAATCCATCATTAGCACGTGTGGGTTACTAGCACTTATGGCTAATCATGGACTCATTAGACTCGAAAGATTCGTCTCGCGATTTTAATGCAAACTGTATAATTAGTTTTTATTTTTATCTATATTTAATGTTCTATGTATGTGTCCAAAGATTTGATGTGATATTCTTGAGAAAAAAAATTTTGAAACTAAACCGGGCCTTCGAGGAGCCACACACGAGATATTAGTACAGTACAGTACAAGATTCATATTGCGAGTCTTAGTTGCAGGTTGGTGTCATAATTATGGTGAAAATGCCAACTAATAAAAGGTGCTAGAGCAGTACCGAACAGTTGCAAAATAGCGGTTGATCACACAATCAACGGCTTCAGCTACAACAGCTAAATGCTCACCAAAGTTTACTGTTGCTTAAAAAGGGATCATCAACGCTGGGCCCAGACATAATGTTATCAGTTATGGCTAAATCGTAATCAGATTGATGTGGCCGTGAATGATCTACCTATTGATGACCAACTTCACTATGCTCAATGCTAATCAAATTGAATGAAACCAACGAATAGACAGGGAACGGCACGAACGTCACGATATAATCATCTTCTGGAGCCATGTTTTGTTGCTAATCGAATTGAATGAAACCAACGAATAGACTGGGCATAATTGTTTTTTTTTTGCTTGTATCTATTCCCCACCCAAATCCTCTCGAATCATGCACAATAAAATCGTTCACAAGTCATGCATCATTTGTTTACTTGGTTTTAAATCATGTTACCTGTAAATATTATGCATATACAGTAGTATTTCAATAGAAATTCAGTGTGAGAAGAGATCTGCCGTTCAACCCCCCCCCCCCCCCTAACAAAGTTTTATTGATAGAGCAGAAAAATTTTACAATATTATAATCCTGAAAGGCCGTAACTAGGAAAAAGAAAAAAAATATACCACCACCCACACACCGGCAGCGCCCACACACAGGTCCGGGAGAATGCTAGCACCAAACCGACCGCCACTAAGCGTGACCGGCCACCACTAGTCCAACAACGGAACACAGACGAGATCGCCCAAAAAAACACCCTTACAACCACCACAAAGCCCAACTCTATCCACGTCTTCCGGATTTAGGGAGAGAGGGTGAGAGAGAAGATGGAACATCTCTCCTCTCTAGGCCCTCCGACGTGACCAACTTGTAGAAACTAGGACACCGCTACAAGAGGATGAGAATCTAGAGCGTGCTTGCACCAATTGCTCGAGTGGTTTCGACAAGGGGGATGCCATTCGCCAGGGATGAAAACGGTCGAAAATAGTTGGAAACAATACATTATTTTATTATTTTTTCGAAAATGAACGGAAATGGTCAGGAAATTTCCATATTTATGAATTCATCTATTTAGTGTCAACTTCAATGCCACACTAACATAAATTTAAAAAACTAAAATTTGAAAATAGTAACCATCGGTAAAAATATTATTATCATATTAGTTTTCCGAAAACGGTATCGATACGGTCGGAAAATTCCCATATCATTTTCACCCCTACCATTTGCCCCTATTGCTTTGAGCATGTGTTGAGGGATATTTGTGTCTTTTGTGTAATCAAAAGAAAACTTTAATTTTACATTTTCTAAACCTACATTTGGAAAACTATTACAAATAACATGGCATGAAAGTATTTTAAGGGGCAAATCTTACCAACTTTTACTAGCGTGTCAAATTCTTTTCCGAAATTCAAACTGAACTTGGAGTATTTGGGAGTGGGTAGGAAGTAAAGAAACAAACTACTCGTAAATACCTGCATGTTGCTGTCTTATCAACATGTGAGTGCCTGGCAGAATTATATTTAAAAAAAAGACAAGGGGAAGATCCTTCCTCTTGCTCAACGAGATTCTTGCATATACACTGGAGTACTCTCTATACATTTTTCTCTCTTGCGAACACATGCAAACACAAAAAGCTTTAACCGTAGCTTTGTTCAGTCTTCTACTGCTGCTGGCCATTCTCCCTCCCAGTGTCACACTCTCAAAGTCTCCTCTCCTCCATCAGGTGTTACCTCCTGCAGATCCTGATTGGAATTTGGACCTTCTCCTCCTCCTCCTCCACCACCTCCTCCTTCCCAGTCTGGTAAAATGTGCAGGCCATAAAGCCCTCGCAATCCTAGAACAGTTGCATTTCTAATTCATGTATAGTAGGAAAGAAATATATATATTCCTGCTCTGTTCTGTTCTTATCTTTTGCTTTGAGCCAAAAAGGTTAGAGCTTTTGTGTTCTTCCCCCACAAATATCCCCTAGTGCCTTTTGTTTGGCCGTGGTGTGGAAAAGCATATGAATGGGGGAGCATCTCAATTGGCATACTGCTGTTGCCCCCCAGCTTAGCTATCCCTTTCCATCCCTGCAAGAACCCTTCTTTATAGATCTGTGCCCTTGCTGTTCATGGAACCCTGTGATTGAGGTCTCTAGTTTTAGTGTTTAATTAAGCTCTCCTTGCCTTGCCAGCTTTTGGATGATGCTTACATCTTACTCCTCTATTGGTTCTTGGATAGGGGTTTCCTCATTTGGTCTCTCACTCGCGGTGTAAACAAAGTATATGCTCCAAGTAAGCTGCTACTTTTAGCTGCTTCTCTGATTCTTGAGTGATCTCCAAGGTAAAGCTCCCCTCACTTGCTTCTAGTTGCTGTTCTTGGTTTGAGCAAGAAATTCAGGCTGTTTTTGGAGCAGAAATGGATTGTAGCAGCATTCTCTGCTGCAATTGATGCTGGTGGTTGGAAGAACACCAACCATGCTGCTCTGTGTAGTAAGTAGTGGTAGTAGTAGCTTGTAAAAGGACGGTCCATTTTGCAGTGCAGAAGGAGAGGGAGGAGGAGATGGGGGAGTGCGGCGGCGGCGAGTACAGGTGCTGGGAGGAGCTTCTGCCGGACGCGCTGGGGCTCGTCTTCCGGAACCTGCCGCTCCGGGAGGTGCTGACGGTGGTGCCACGGGTGTGCAAGTCGTGGAGCCGGGTGGTGGCCGGGCCGTACTGCTGGCAGGAGATCGACATCGAGGAGTGGCGGCAGCAGCAGGGCAAGCCCGAGCAGCTCGTCCGCATGGTGGAGATGCTCGTCGCACGCAGCTGCGGCTCCTGCCGCCGCATCAGCGTCTCCGGCCTCCCCGGCGACCCGCTCTTCTCCTTCATCGGAGACCAGTAAGTTTTGTTCTCTCTCTCTCTCTGTTTTTTTTTATTATTCTTTTTGGTTCAGCGTTCTGTCCGTTTCTGAATGATTCTTTTACCGGGATGGTTGAATTCCAGCATTTTGATAGCGCTCTCTGATGTAGTAAAATCCTGAGGTTATAAATGATCAGCGATTGTTATTTTTCTGTCAGTAGCTGACATGGTCATGGATCAATCTAGTGCAGGCAGTAAATTTGGTTTCAGAAAATTGCAGACCGTAAAAAGTTTGTGTTTCCACCATTTCCCCATGGTTAAATTCAACATTTTTACCAAATTTTCAGCTTTGGAGTTCAGGCAAAATTTTACAGACCAGCTCACTGGCCTCTGATTCTGAACTAGTGAACTAGTGGCTTCAGTTCAGCATCCGTTTCCTACTAGTCGTAGTATTGATTCTTTGAATTTTTTTTTTTTTGACATGGATGTGTTTTGTGGATGGGAACATGTCGAATTGCCACCATGACACGACCAATTCATATTCCCCTCCCAAAACTTTAACCCTTGTTGATTCCGGCTTATCACCGTTTCGCTAAACGTTGGAGCCACAAGTACAAACTCAAGTACTGCGCCCTGCACGGCTCGCACATGCATACACCCATTCTCTCCAGTGGATTATTCACCGTTCTCTCCTGCTGCCATTGCACGTCTTGCTTGCTGCCAATCCCAGATTCAGTATGTTCTGCACGCAGAATTTCATTACCGCGCGTGCTCTAATCCATTTCCAGCAATTAACTGTAACTCAATGGTTAATTATCTGGTTTATTACTAGCAGTAATTCTTGGTGCTGAATTTTGGTGGTGGTTTTGCAAGTGCACGGGCACTGAGGACGCTGGAGATTCCACGGAGCGAGATCAGCGACGCGGCGGTGGAGAGCGTGGCGCCGAGGCTGCCCAACGTGACGTTCCTGGACATCAGCAGCTGCACCAAGATCGGGGCGCGCGCGCTGGAGGCGTTCGGCAAGAACTGCAAGTCGCTGGTGGGGCTCCGGCGGGTGATGCACCCGACGGACGTCGCCGGCAAGGCGTGCCAGCGCGACGAGGCGCGCGCCATCGCCTGCACCATGCCGAGGCTCCGGCACCTGGAGATGGGCTACATGGTGATCGCGACGGATGCGGTGCTCGACATCCTCGCGCGGTGCCGCGACCTCCGGTTCCTCGACCTCCGCGGCTGCTGGGCCGTCGACGACAAGTTCCTGCAGGAGAGGCACCCGGGGCTGAGGGTGCTCGGCCCCGGCGTCGACGACTGCTTCGAGAACAGCTACCTGGAGGAGTGCTCCGACTACTCCGACGACTCCTCCATCTACTCGTGGGAGCTCATGGAGGACGACGACGACGACTACTACGCCGTCGGGAGCGACGACGAGGCCATTTGGGACGACGGCCAGGGCCTCGAGAACCTGGAGGTCAGGTTCTACGGCGGCGGCTTCAGCGAGAGCTATGCTGGCTTCGATTGGCCACCATCACCATGACCATGAGAGCAGCTCAGCTCAGCTCAGTCCCTGACCTCACTGTCCTTGCTCTTCCTCTCGAGCCGTGTACCTAAGCTTGCAGTTGCAGTCTCGCAGATGTGTTGTTGTACTCTGTGTGTGTGCGCGTGTGCCAGTGTGTCATCAGCATCACTAGCTTGCAGTGCAGATATGTGTGAGTGAACTTCTACGGCTAGTTGTTACTACTACTACATCCAGATGTAAACTTTGGTGTTTACATGAAGAAGCAATGCAAATGCAATATGTGGTGAAAAATCACCTGCCCTGCTCATGTCCTACAACGAATCTACAAAAACTGTAGCTTGTGTGATCTGTTGGTTGGGAGTGTTTTATGGAGAGATTGGCAGTACAACGAGAGATGGGCAATCTGCTGCCTCATCTATTGGACAAGATGTGCAGCAGCAGGTGTGGTGTGGCCTGCCTTGCTATGCCAGGGAGAGCAGTGGAGAAGAGAGAGTAGAGTACTGCATCTGCATGCCCTTGATTTACGTTACATGTCAATGCTGCTCCCAGGACAAGCAAAACCAACAGTTAAAAAGCTTACTAGTGATCCACTTTTAGGCCGGTCGGACCACGGTGACCACTGATTTCACAGTTGAAAACAATGTGGTAGTGTAGCTGGTAAAGCAGGATCTTTTTTTCACCGGCAGATGGATTGTCTCTTGCGAGGCAGGTTACTACAAGCCCTGGCATTCCCATGCGCCTATGGGCCTCTCTGCAACTTTTGCCGCTGCAACACTAGTGTAGGATTCTGCAGTGTATTCCCAATTCCCATATATACCAGCAGATTATTATATGGAGTACAGTATACTGGTTATCCATCTTGAGGTATGGTCAGGTCTGATTGGATGCCTCTGGCTAAATATTTGATGCTCTTGTTTTGTACAAACATTGAGATCATTGAGTCAGGATTGTCTCTTAACATTATGTGTTACTATATCAAGTACAGTAGTATGATCCTGTACTGATCCAGGAATCACACTGATCAGGGATACCTCTTCTGCAGCTTGGCTGTAATGCAGTGTAATTTTGTTAAGCATCCTTGCACTGAACTCAACAGTTAAGACAAAAGGAGATTAGAAGAGAGATACCAAGCTGGCACTACACTACAGGGACATCCCTGGCAAATATTGTTGCCGTTTGCAGTGGCAATAGGAATCATTCTTGATTAGGCTGGTCTGAACTCTGAAAAGGATGGAAAAGGGCTGTGAGCTTTCTGGAAATCCACACAATGAACACCGGCGTTAGGATTGTTTAAACGCGGCTTCAGAATGGGATGCCTGTCCTCTTTCAACCTAATCCCATGTTCTTTTCGCTTTCGGTTTTGTGTTATCCATGTGTCCTCACCACCCTCACCTGCCATTCTCTTGTCCCCTTGCTTTGCTAGCTTTCCAAGATTCTTTTGTTGGAACTCGCGGTTGACAATAGTGAGTGTCTAGGATTGCTAAAGCTTATCGTCTCGCTGAGACGGCCTCTGCCTCTGTAACACACAGTAAAATTCAGCTCCTCTGGCTCTGTCTCATGGGAGAGAAGAAGATTATCCTTGTTTGGGCCATGCGACAGAAGAAGATTAGCCCTTCATCTCGGGCCTACGAACGCTGACAGTGAAACAGCTTTTCTCCGGAGTAAACACGAGCTGGCTGGCTGAGACCTGGGCTGTGTTTAGTTCAGCGTAAAGTTTAGATTTTGGTTAAAATTGGAGATGATGTGACTGAAAAGTTGTGTGTGTATGATATGTTGATGTGATGAAAAAGGACTGAAATTTGGATCCAAACTTTGAATCTAAACACAGCCCTGATGAGATCCAAGGCCCTCACCATTGGACGATGCAGGGCTACAGGAAATGGTGGGAGCCCGGATCGGACGGCGACGAGACAGCGTCGTGCTTTACGGGCTGGTACTGGCCGTCTGGCCGTGGCCGGTGATGCGAGCTACAGCAGTTGCTAAATCGGAAGCATACTGTAGCAAGCAGCCTGCATTCAAGATCGGATCCAAACTTACAGGATATACTAGTATCAGGGTTCAGACGCGTAAGTGTTAACACCACAATTTGATACGGTTTCCACCGGATTCGGTAAAGAAAAAAAACGAATTTAAAGAGGGATCGTGAATAGCACGGCAAGATACTTTCATATTTGTAATATATATATATCTTGATAGACTAAATTTGATAACAATCCGGTCCAGTAGTTCATAGCCACACCCACTCGGTGAAAAGCCCAATCTACCTAGGTGACAAGGGCCTAGCTCTGATACCAAATAATAACAATCCGACCCAGGTGGGATTGGCCGAGACCCAATAACTTAAGGTTGCCCGGACCCCAACAGTTCATAGACACACCCACTCTGGGAAAGGCCCAATCTCACTAAAAGACTAGTGCAATAGGGGAAGGGTGGCTCTCCCTTTTAAGGTGGCTTCCTCCTCCCAAGCTAAGCAAGGTGGGATTATTCGGAGGCTCACACGGTCGCCGCTAGACTTTTGCGTCTTTGCCAGCGGGTAATAGTGGAGGATGTCCTCATCATTCCCACCCCCTTAAGAAGGGCCTAGCTCTGATACCAAATGATTACAATCCGACCTAGGTGGGGTTGGCCGAGGCCCAATAACTTAAGATTGCCCGGACCCCGACAGTTCATAGGCACACCCACTCGGGGAAAGGCCCAATCTCCCTAAAAGATTAGTCCAATAGAGGAAGGGTGGCTTTCTCCTCCCAAGCTAAGCAAGGTGGGATTATTCAGGGGCTCACACGGTCGCCGCCCGACTTGCGTCTTTGCCAGCGGGTAATAGTGGAGGATGTCCTCATCAAAATTAGTTATTATTATTTTATTTTCTAGTTAGGAGTCTTATCTCATATCCTACTAGATTTTGTAAGATATTTCCACATATTAATAAAATAAAATTTTGGTGCATCGCCAACCTTTTGCCAGGTTTTTGTTTTCGAGCAGGGTTGCGATGGTAAAGTTCGATCTTCGGTAAGACATCAAGTTCGGGATCTTGCTTTCGAGTTGGGCTGCATCATTTTGATCGCCGGCAAGAAAGTAATTTCCATCAACTTTGCTCGTATTGGCGTGGGTAGAACTTTGTCGGTTAGACCCGATATTCTATTTAAGTTGATGCAAGCGTTTTTTTATCAGATATATTTTTAGTTACTTCATTGTCTAGAGTTGTATCTTCCAAGAGTTTGAAAATTTAGCTTATTTAATGCATAAGATATAGACGATTGCAAGAGGTAAAGGAGAAAGAAATTTTGGACTCATAAATGCTAGGAAGAAGACACGTGAAAGACGATTGCAAAAGGCAAAGGAGAGAGAAATTTTGGAGTCATAAATGTTAGGAAGAAGATAATTCGAAGCATAAGTTCTTATACTCCAAAATTAGGGGGCATATGTTAACACCAAAATTTGGTACGATTATTTAATAGATTCGGTTAAGAAAAACCCAAAAGGTAGATGGAAGTTTATCAAGATCAAGCTGAATTTAAAGAGGAATCGCGAAGATCACGGCAAGAGTTCATATTTTTAAGTATATCTATTAAATAAGCAGATTAGTTATTTTTCTTTTCTTCTCAGGAAATATTATCTCATGTATCAACCCGAAGACATAAATATATACACCCAAGATATTTGTAAGATATTTCCACATATCAATATAATTACTTTCGGCGTATCACCACCTTTTATTCTGACGATTTCATAGTTTCAAGCGAGGTTGCATCGTTTCAATCTTCAGCAAGGAAGTCACCACCTTTTATTCCGATGAGTTCATAGTTTCAAACGAGGTTGCATCGTTTCAATCTTCAGCAAGGAAATAAGTTTCGCCAACTTGCCGAGTTCATAGTTTCGAGCGAGGTTGCATCGTTTCAATCTTCAGCAAGAAAGTAAGTTTCGTCAACTTGCCTTGTTCTTTTCAGTTGTAAAGCATTATTTCTTGGATTACACAAAACTACGAAAGACGTATATGAGCGCATACACCACTATACTCACATATCACAAACTAGAGCCGTATATAGAGCTAACTCGGCTCGACTACCCATTATCTTGTTGTACGCTCTATGTGAGTAAGAGCAGGTACAATAGAAGGCTATAAGCCAACTGCAAACATATTTTAAGAAGATAAATGAGGAGAGAAGGGCAGCGGGCTACAGATTTGTAGGCAGCTGTAGCACGGACTCCAAGACACGGACTCTAAGACACAGTGTATGTATGACAGGTAGAACCAGGTATTAATAGTGTAGTATGTAACTATTGTATGAATGAGCTATTATATTGGTTATAGATGAATTGAAGCTAGTAGTTGGCTATACTATTAAACTTGCTCTAACAATCAGATCCAATATTTTATCCTCGAACACTCTTCCATTATATCTCTAATTATATGGGCCTAAACTGTTACGACGTCGACGTACATGCAAGTGTTTATAGATTATATTACCAACAATGGCAAATCACTAGCAAAGTTGTGAACATGAATCCATACTTTTTTTTGACATTATAAATCCATACTTTGATACCCTCACACAAGGTGAAAAGAATCATTGGGCCGTTTTATAATTTTAGTTTTGCAGACCAAGGATTGAAAATTTTATGTATGACACATGATATATGATATCTCGTGCAATAGCTTTCGAGCCTACCCCGTATAGTTCAAAAATCTAACGGTGATTCTTCTTTAGATGAATCCACTGCCAAAAGTTAAATATGATGAGATTTAGATCAGCAATCTTGTTGTACCCAAGCATCATCGCTTCTGATAAGGGCTGTAATCAACCATCACAATCCCACGCTTATATCCAGACATATTACCAAGTATGGCAAACCAATATCATATGATGCAGGTATATATAATATAATAAGATAACACTACGTTTTGCGTACTGCAGAACCAACGATACAAGATACTGATAACTAGTGAGCGGACGTTACCAAAATGGAATATGGTGGGGGTGGAAGCATTCACCCAGCATGTCTGCTGGGAAACTAAAATACCAGATAGTAGAATTATTTCTGGGACCGACTTGGCTGACTAGCGACTAGGCTTGGTGTTGTGTTCCACGTCATGAAAACCTCTTACTTCAAAAGTATGGCCTGTAGCGCATTGGACGGCGGAATCTGGGGACTCTCCTGAACAAGAATACACAATATGGATGTTAGACACCAGACATAAAGAATTAGACATCCATGTTGTCAAAAAAGCTAAACTTACCCGTAACCATATGGTGGGAAATATGGGGCCCCATACGATCTATATGGGTAACCATGATAAGGATTGTATCCACGCGGTGGACGCTGCTTCATCCCAGGGACATTAGTCCTCTTTGGTGCCACCTGTTGAGCACAAAACAGAAATTGAGTAAATTGCGAGGACAAAAACATGTGAAAAGGAGTTTTTGAATCCTTCAGGTGACAAAACAGGGATCTGTTGGTAATTTCTGCACCTTTATCTGACGACCATGCAGTTCAGATTCATTCAAATTCAGAGCCTCCTGAACTGCTTCTTGTTCCAGAAATTCCACATAAGCAAAACCTTTTGGCTGTCCAAACTTGTCAGTTAAGATCGTCACTCTATTGACTGTGCCACACGCTTGAAAATGCTGCTGCACTTCTTCTGGGGTACATGCATAATCAACCTGCGGTAAATGATTTGTATCACTAAGATGAATGAAAACTAAATGTACATGTCAGATTAGATAATCAGATGTGCTTGCAGACTGGTAATAGAATTAAAAAAATGCTTATCAAGTCACCTTGATAATATTCTGATTTTAACCGGTTAATCTCAAAAGAACCATTTCTGCCTTTTAAAGGTTTCAGTGTGCTACATAAGATACCTCGGTACAATACAAAATTGCCATGCCTGATACTAATTGAAAATTTCACATGGTTGATACACAGGTGAGGAAATTTCAGGTCAACAAAAATCAATGTTTAAAGTGTGTTTCAGGCTAAACCCAGTCAAGATGACACTTTGGGTGTAACTACCACTTCGAAAGTTGGAAACATTATAAGGGGAACATCATATAACTGATTATCTAGGAATATCATAATTGTAAATAATATAATTGTGCCCGTGATGTGACAAATGGAGTATGAGACCAGACATACTGAACTCTGAAGCGAAGAGAAAAGCACAATATCATGCTAACAAGGCAAAAACTAGCATAGATGATGCAATTTCTAGGACTATCGTACAGTATAGTCTGTACGGCAAGACTTTCAGGAAAATATAAATGTCATAGTTAAAAGGATTTTTGTTAAACATATGCAAGTGCTGTTAAATTTTCATACAAATTACTGACTTCCATAGCATTTACTGAACAAAAGGTTAATTTTCATGATGTCACCCATTTGGGCTACTAGAATACTGGGTAGCCTTTACTTGCTTGTAAGAAAAGTTCAATGTAGTCCCCACAAAACAATACTGACATTTATGCTGACACATCAGCAATGTCATCAAGAATAATTAAGGTGGTCAATGAAAAGGGGGCAAAAGAAATAGAAAGATGTGCTTTGACATCACAAGAGAAGTAAAAAAAAAAGGAAAGATGGAGATACAAAGATGAATAAAGTTAATATGAAGGCTCCCTAATATTAGGCTTATATGTCATACCTATGTGTATTCAGGTGATTCTCATTGGACCAGTCGCTAAGAATCACATCACATCGTATGCAGGTTCGAGTCTCAAGCACCAAGGAGTGTACAGCTGCTTTCTAGACTTCCTTTGCTCCTTCAAGGATAACCTATCCTAGAATATTCATGTTTGTTTTTTTCCCTTTTTTCTTTTTCTTTTGCCCATGCTCTTTTTTTTTTCCTTTTTGCCCATGCTCTTTTTATTTTTTTCAGGGAATTTCTCTTTTTTTTTTCAATTCTAAGCTAATACTAAAATGCAGGCAGGTGTTCAACCAGATGCCAATTACTCGATTTGAGAAAGGCTTGATCTCAGCACTACCCTGCGGCCATCACCATTATTCAATCAATGCACCAAAACAAGGCATATTCACCATATAGCCATATAAGATACTATCTTCTACTATCATTAGAAACAGAACGGCAATAAGCACAGAGGAAAAATCACAACAACAGTACAAAACTGTGCATGGAAATTTATGTTTTGTTGTTCGAATGAACAGTATTAAGCATGGATTAAAATGAAGAGAGAAACCCAATTTTTGATAGCTTTAATGATGTCTTCTGACATTTAAGACAAGCAGAAGTAAACTAATTTTCGGAGATAAGGCAGGCTATTAGGTGAGCTTAAGGGAAGTCGAGAAAACAAAACAAGCATTTGTTTTTGGATGTGTATGTGGTGGGGTGAAAGGGGGGGGGCTAGGAGAGCTATATAATTTGGCACAAGTATGTCATATCTAAGTGAAATGTACCAAAGGTATCTTTCAACTAGCAAGGAACCAGCAGAAAATATCTAATGATATGTTACACTGTACATATATCCATGTATTCCACATTTAGTGCTAAAAAATGTGGTAGTTATCAATGCAACTAAATAGGACTCCCTCCATCCCAAAAGAAAGACATTCTAGGGTGTTTAGCAGAGACTTAAGGTTTGAGGAGAAAAGACTATACTACCCCTTATATAATGATGTGTGGTTGGGGATAGTATGGGGAGAAATTTGAATGAGAGGTGATTGATGGGACAAGTAGTACCCTAGAGTGACAATCTTTGTGCGACGAATTTTGAATCCTAGAGTGAAATTCCTTTTGGGACCGAGGGAGTAGCTTACAGTTTCCATCATATGAAACGTGTGTGTGAGAGAGAGTATGGGTCTTTATAAATTCTTACATTTCCAACATACACAGATCGAGCATCCACCTGCTCCTTTGCCTCAGCTGTAGACGCGCTAGGATCTCCTCCTACAAAACAAAAGAGTAATAGCATTAGAGAAGTTGCAATGGAAACTTACCAACTAGTACCTATCAGAAAACTGAAAATGTGGGAAATAGAACATCGGGTCAAGGCACATTCAGATATAGATGTTTGAAGTGTTTTATGGGTGAATTGCTGCCTCACAGCTTGCTGCTGCTTAGCTGCTGCAGCCAGCGAACCTGGTGCAGGCAGCGGGGCAAGCAGGCCCATAATACTAATCATTTGAAGACAAAACCAAAGTAAATCCTAGGGCCTGTTCATTTTGATGTCATTTTCAACCTTACCAAATTTTGGTAAAATTGTCAAAAAAAAAAAGGCTACATTTAGTTTGCTGCCAAAATTTGGCAACTATATAAGAAATCCTACCAAAATTTTGGCATAGTTTGCCAAAATTTTGGTAATGCCAAAATTTGGTAAGGTTTTTTTTGGCATCAAAGTGAACAGGCCCCTAATCCAAAACCTCCATGACTTGTCCAGATATATACACTCAAATGATAATATAGGGGTAGACTGAGATTTCTAGCCACATGGACTAACAAGTAAAAATATGTGTATATCCCAAAATATAAGGGCACAGTCAACAACAAAAATGAAGAAATCCGAAACCTTATATTCAAGCAGATTGGATCGTGGTTGAAATGTTAAGTAGCAAAAGTTAACCCAAATATACATATTTGGAACTCGGAAGTACCAATTCCTAAATCAGACTATCAGAGTAGGGCACGAATTAACGGCCGATCGATCTAACCTCACCAAGTTAACCTAGTCGAAATTGAGGGACCTTAATAAGTTTTAAACTTGATCAGATAGTCATCTAACCTAGGGTACACGTAGATCCTCACAATACAGATCGAATGAGGCCGATATGAACATAGCAGATCGCAACAAGAAAAACATAAAAGCATCAGTAAAAATTAGGCAGGCAGTGAGCACACCCGGCGGACCACCTTGCATCTCCTTGGCGACCTTGGCCTGCATGTCGCGGAGGGCCGCGGCCTCTTCCTCCATCTCCTTCAGCCTTCGCTTCATCTGGTCGAGCTCCTGCAGCTGCAACAAGCCAAATGGGGTAGTAGTCAGCTACTCGAAGTAGGGTTAGGTTCATAGACCATAGATGCGCGGATCATGGAGGTAGGGAGACCTTCGCGGCGTCGTCCCCGCCGGAGGCCATGTCGACGTCCGCGCCGTCCATGTCCCCGTCCTCCGGGATCTCTTGCCCGTACACCTCGTGCTCCTCCTCGTCCATGGCGTTCGCCCCTCCCCACCTTCGTCGATCCCCAATCTGACTCGGGTCTCTCCTTTGGTGTTCGTGACTTTTGGCAAGGGATCGAATCGGAAGCGAATGGGTGGGCCCAAAACGGGCCGGTTATTTTACTGGGACTAAAGATATCGGCCCATCTGAATTGTGCGTTCCGCCGGATAAGGGATAACTGAAGGCGGCGCTCAGTCCCGCGCCTTCTGGAACCTTCCCGTGGAAGGGGCATACAGCCTTGCAGCGGCAGCTTCCGGAAGCTTCTGAATTCTTCTCCAAGATTTGCCGCGACGATAAATCCTCTCGTTTCTCCGCTCGCTGATTCATTCTCAACGCAAAATCCAAAAGATAAGCACAGTTACGCAGCGAGAGCGAGAGAGGAGTGGAGAGCCATGGCTTCCATCGTGGCATCGAAGAGGATCCCACTGTTCCGCCTCGTGGAGCAGCTCCTCGCCGCGTCGCCGGCCCAAGGCGCCGCCTCCGCTCTCAGGCCGGTGGCCGTCGCCGGCGGGTCCCGTGCATACAACACCGGCGCGCAGCTCCGCCGGCACGAGAGGGACGAGTCGGACGACGACAGCGGCCGTGGGTACGACACCAGGCGCCCCACACGCGACGCCACCATGCCCGCCTTCTTCTCAGGTAGTCGTCATCTCTCGCCGTGTCAAGCTCATCCGGAGTTTGCACCAATTGATCTCATCAAATCGCTGTCCTGAACATGTTCTCGATTTCCCGATCGATTTGCAGATGTGTTCCGTGATCCGTTCAGCGCGCCGCAGAGCCTCGGGCGGCTGCTGAGCCTCATGGACGACCTGGCGACGCCGGCCGGGCGCGCCGGCGCCGCGACGCTGCGGCGCGGGTGGAACGCGAAGGAGAGCGAGGAGGCGCTGCACCTGAGGGTGGACATGCCGGGCCTGGGGAAGGAGCACGTGAAGGTGTGGGCGGAGCAGAACAGCCTCGTGATCAAGGGCGAGGGGGAGAAGGAGGCCGGCGAGGACGAGGGCGCCGCCCCGGCGAGGTACAGCGGCCGCATCGAGCTCGCGCCGGAGGTGTACAGGATGGACCAGATCAAGGCGGAGATGAAGAACGGCGTGCTCAAGGTGGTCGTGCCCAAGGTGAAGGAGGAGCAGCGCAGGGACGTCTTCCAGGTCAACGTCGAGTAGGAGCTCAATCCGCGCGCGTTCGGCGTGCGAAGTTGCAGGATGCGGATGGATCGTCTCCTTTTATCCAATAAGAAATGCGGCGTGCTGTAGCTTTGTTTTGTTTTCGAAGTTATGGAGATAAAAGTTTTGGTTTACTTATGATAAAAAAATTTTACTTATGCGATTGATCTCGTATCGCGAGATCTCTCGCGTCGTGGTCAAATTCAGGCGGACTCCGCGCGAAAACGGAGCGAGCGCGCACGTGAAGCGGAAGAACCGTGCGCGAGACAATTAAAGCCAAGGCGTCCTTCATTTTGCTCTACATATATCCATGAAAAATCAAAACTTGGCGAGAGGAATCATTTTGCTGTGCATGATAAAATTCAAAATTTGGTTAGAGGAACCCGTTCTGTAATTGGAATGGTGACAGAATTCATAAAAAAAATCAAAAACTTGGCTAGAGGAATCCGTTCGGTAATATGTATGGTGAGTTGGTGACAGCAGCTTCAAGCTGGATTGCTGAAGCTTCAAGAAGCTATAGCTCCATTTCAGTCAACAATTTTAACTTGAAAAATTGTTTACGAATACTTGACATTGAACGAAATCCAATGCGATATGTTTGTTGCATCCTTGAATAGTTATCATATTCTAGGATTGAATTGTGAATTGTTGTCGTGTATAGGACTTATATACAACATTACCAGAAACCTTATCAATATTGGATGAACCTAATTTTCGGCACTACCAAATCTTTGTAAGATGAGGGGAGGCTAGGTGGTGTTTGGTTTATTAACTTTCCATATATTGGTACAAGTTTTGTGTGTAGAAATTACCAAAAAGATTGGTAGAATCGTGTCTGTTCACTTGTAAACCACTCGATTAGCTATTTAGAACGCGTTCTAAGGCTGAATTCATTTAGTTTAGTTAGACATTATACATTTGTTTAAAAAATATAATCCTAAAGGATTTACTTGAAGCTTAAAGCTTACCAGTTGACAATTGCTATATTTTGGTAGGATTCCTTACGTACTAAATGTATATAAATATTTGATAACTTTATTTAAAAATTAATATGGTTAATTTAGAATGACATCGATTTGAACAACCCCTTAATTTCTAAGTTGTCCTATGCCTGGCTTGGGCCATGTATGTGGATTTCAGGGAGAGAGAATAATCCTTTAGGAATCAGATATACTCCTTCCAATCCCATTTACTCTACTACTACCTGACAACGTACATTTCGTATTCTTACAGATATTATATTCATGTGCAATGTACTTCATTAGTGAAATCATTTTTTCTGAATGTTTTAAATATAAAAATAGAAACAGTGGTCAAAATTTAGACGTGAACAACGTCGCCTATGATATTAAAAAACAGATATGATATTTTATGACGTAATTAGGATAATATAATTGTTGGACTATAGATCATTGCACATACACATCGTAGAGTAAAGGCATGGTTCACCGACTTTTTCTTAACATGTGTTTTTGCGTGTAGTGATTACAGACCCGAACGGGTTGAAATAAACCCCATCAAATCAACAATAACAACTCGAATTTTGATAAATTCATAGATATCACTTAATTTCATCGAGTTTCGTCAGGCCCTAGTGATGGATTGTCCACATCTTACCAATCCAACCCAACTCAAATTTTAGCACTGCAGTTGCCAACGCGGTGCGCACCCGGCCTGAAGAAGCAAAAGCATAACCGTTTGCAACCTACAGAATATCCTTAGCGGGATAGTGATTAGTGACCCTTTATTCCATCATGCACTTCTGCTTCTGCATACCAGTAGCATACAATTGTATATACTGCACTTCTGCCCTATACACTGTATTTGTATTTGCAATAGCAATACATTTTTTTTGCGAGGAATACAAGATTCGTTTAGTAGATCGAGGTCAAGCATCCGTAACACCAAGGTCAGCTACCACACCTTGGCCTAACTTAACGGAGATACTTTTTTTTCATTAAAATAACGTTTGATGGCTTTCTGTAACGGTGTTCCTTCTCTCCCTTACTTTTTCCGGTAAAATGTTCAAAATTAACCGATCATATTCATCCACAGGAGGAATAACAATACTATTATCCGATTTTGCGTGCGTATTACTCCCCTCGGACCGACATTTCCACTTTCTAACAAACGATCTCGGTTAGGCACGGCGAGCCCACCACCATCTTCCCCCTTCTCCTTCCCCTCCCCGCGTCGCCTCGCCGTGTGCGTGCGCCTCCACTTCTCCGAGAGACAAACCAGGGCGCCGATCTCGCAGCCTCCACCTCCTCACCCACGCGGCCTCGCGCTTGCGTGCGACGCCGGAGAAGAAGCTTCGGCACCGGCCCCGGCTCCACCCGCAGCTCCGCCATCTCCTCCGGCCGCGGCCCCGGCGGCGAGGCGAGGCGAGGCGAAGCGGAGGGCGGCGAGATGTGGGTGTTCTACCTGATATCGCTGCCCCTGACGCTGGGCATGGTCACCGTCACGCTCCGCTACTTCGCCGGCCCAGGCGTGCCGCGCTACGTCATCGCCACCGTCGGCTACGCCTGGTTCTGCTCCCTCTCCTTCATCATCCTCGTCCCCGCCGACATCTGGACGGTTAGATCACCCACCCCTCTGGATCGCGTTCCTCGTCCGTGTATGGATTCCCCCCAACAATTTCTATGCCGGTGTGGTTAGATCCGCTCCGGGCTGAGCTGATTGCATGTTTTAGTACTGTTGCGAATTAGGTTCTATGATTCGAGCATATTAGGGCATGGTGTTTGGGGTGTTCGACGAGAGATTTTTTGTTGAATCACGCATTTAAATTGTTGGTGTTGGTCACCGGAATGAGGTCTGATGAATAGGTTCAACCTGTCGTCTATCAGAGAGGCCACTAGTTCATTACATAGTTCTAACGAATGCATCATAAACGATGAATCTGAGGCAATTCGGAACTATAGAGAAGTGCATATGGCTTTCCTGACCCCAATTAGCCTTGGAGAAGTTTCCCTGTGCACTACTTGACTACCGACAGCTAGTCCTTGTCGCCATTGTTATGTTGATGACGTCATACAAACTCTTACTAGAGGAACAGTTTGCAGAGAGACAAGTTTACTTTTGACGTCTGTGTTTTAAAAATTAAAACACTAATAAACGACATATATATCCTGGCAACAAATATTTCAGTCTCTACGGGGACTTTATCTGATCACTAGGCTAGAAGATGATTTTGTGAATTCATTTGGTCTGAACTTTTACATAACAACTTGCAGACATTAACTGGCCGTGAGAAAGGTGGCATCGGCTTCTTTTGGAGTTGGTCGTATTGGAGCACATTTATCCTAACATGGTATGCTGTCATTAATTTATCACTATCAAGTATCAACATGTCTTGCACCATTTGTTCCATGGTTGTGATGCTTCTGATCCTCACAGCCATCTGCAACAGTTATTGATGTGAATGCCATTATACAATAGGTTGTTTCTTAGAATGATATGTTAGCACTATTACCAAATATTCAAAACGCATGATTCCTTTCTTTTGATATGCTTCTTATTTTTCTGCTGCCAGAGCAGTGATTTAGAATATCATTCCTTTGGTATCAATGCAATTTGTTTGATTTTTAACTAAACTAAGTCCATACTTGAAAAATTATTGAGTGTGTTGCAGTTCTACTGCATGGTCTGTCAATAGAATGCTTGAATAACCCTTCTTTGAGTGCCTTCTCCTGTGATATATTGCCTGTTTGATATTTCATAGTACTTAAGCTCATGCTGTTCCTGTACAGTGGCTTATACTATTTGCAGTAGGACAATCCATGGTCTTTCTTGGCTAGTAATTTAGTTATGCATTAGTTTGTGTTAGCATTTCTAGAATTCTAGACTATATAGATGCTGGGTGTACTAATATTGTTCTATAGCTTGCAATGGTGTTTATATTTCAGAAGAGCGTTTATGTTTATTTTCTCTAAACATGCATTTGCTTTATTTCTCTAAACAATATCCATAACATGTATCCCTAAACAGGGCTGTAGTACCTACTATTCAAGGCTATGAAGATGCTGGAGATTTCACTGTTAAAGAAAGGCTGAAGACTAGTATTCATATGAACCTGCTCTTTTATTCTATTGTGGGGGCCATTGGCCTCTTTGGACTCATATTGCTTCTAGTGATGCATAGAGCATGGTACGTTCTAACCTCCACTTATTGTCCCTGTTCTATGACCCATTTGATATATAAATTTAGCCTTGTAATATCTTGAAGCTATCATTAGCTACCAAGAATACTACTACTGTTCCCAACAAAAACATTTGTCTTGCCCTGAGTCGTTGAGATTACTTCTTGAGATAACTGCTTTCATTTAAACTTTTATTCTGTAAAACCCGATCTCTTTATCTGCAACAAAAATTTTGGCAGGGATGGTGGTATTGTGGGCTTTGCAATGGCATGTTCAAATACTTTTGGGCTGGTCACTGGTGCATTCCTTCTTGGTTTTGGTTTGAGTGAAATCCCTCGAAACATTTGGAAAAATGCAGACTGGACTCACCGACAAAAAGTACTTTCTCATAGAGTAGCAAAGATGGCTGTCAAGCTTGATAATGCTCATCAAGAATATTCAAATGCAATTGTTGTAAGTATTTTTTTTTAAAAAAGAAATAGTGATGTTGTACTTGCAGCAATTTTCTTAATTGTTATTCTTTTTACAGGTTGCTCAAGCCACTTCTAATCAAATGTCAAAGCGTGACCTTTTGAGGCCTTATATGGATATTATTGACAAAATGTTGGCTCAGATGGTACTAATGCAATCAAAAGCACTACTTAATGTTGAACCTAAAATTTTGCAATTAGATGCAACAATTTGTGATTCTGTCCATTTCAGCTGCGGGAGGATCCATCTTTTAAGCCTTCTGGTGGAAGATTAGGTGAAAATGATATGGACTATGATACAGATGATAAAACAATGGCCACACTTCGACGTCAACTTAGGAGGGCTCACGAGGAGTACTACAGGTGTAAAAGGTATAATTTCATAAACTACTGGTTAACTGGATGATAATAGCTGCCCTCCACAATTTCACATTTCTTTTACTAATGTCAAGTATGACAAATGCAAGTTATATGGATATTTCAAATACCATAAATCTTATTTGTTTAGAATGCACAACATTGAAGTTGTGCCATTGTTGCCAACTTGCCATTAACTGATAGTTTTATACTTCATTGGTGTGATTTTACAGTGAATATATGACTTATGTCATGGAAGCCCTTGAACTAGAAGACACCATTAAAAATTATGAACGACGTGACGCAAATGGATGGTGAGTTCATTTATATGTTACTGCACTATGCTATATGCTCTAATTGAATACTTATGTCCCATACTCCCATAAACTGAGCATCTACCTTTAGGGGTTTGCAATGCCACAAGGATATTGCACTTGTCAATTGTCTGGTATAAGTGATGCTAAGTGATATGCCCCTTGTGCCGAAGAAGGTTTAGTTGGTTGGTTAAACAGGAAAAGGGGAAATTGTGTACAAACAGAAAATTTCAATTGTTCTGCAAAGGTTTGGTTACATTATTCTTGGTTATTATAATTGTAATCTACACTGGTATTAGCCAAAAAAAAACTTGATTTGGTGGGCTCTTGTTGCTGTAGATGCTTATGTTTGTCGACTTGACTATACAATATGCTTCAATGATTTGATTTAAAAATCTTGATTTGTTTTAACAATCAATTATATTTGTCTGATGAGAGATCAGACCACAAGCAGTATGACCTTAATTTCTTTTTTTCCCCTAAACAGGAAATTTGTGTCAAGTTTTAGGGAAAGTCGACCGGGCACACTGGGTTCCCTTTTGGACACAATGGGTATTTCTTTGACCTATACTAACTTTTTTGCACCGGTTTTGTCCTTATTTATTTACTAGTCAAAATGGCTTACAATGAATTCAGAGATGCAATGTTCTTAGTTAGAATATTTCATTGTTCGAAGATTCTTAGTAAATTCAATTTACTGCTTATGGCTGATAAGTAATCGATGGGATTGACTCCGTAATACTTTTTTGTGTTGCCAGAGTTCATTTGGCGCTGTGTTCTGAGGAAGCAGCTTCAGAAAGGATTTGCTATTGTTCTTGGCTGTATGTCAGCTGCTATACTGCTGGCTGAAGCCACTCTGCTGCCAAGTGGTGTTGATTTGTCCCTTTTCTCCATTCTTGTCAAGTCCGTAGGGAAACAGGAGGTTTTGGTTCAGGTAAGAAATTGGGTGCTTCATGTAAATTGTCTTAGCCTCACGTCCACTGTACAGGGCAGTTCTGTTATCTAGTCCTAACTTTCTGTAATGCTTACTGTAGTGTGTTACTCCCATCGTCCAAAGGTATAAGGCGTATTTTGTTTTGTTAGGGCAAGGCAACTAACAATTGTTAATTTATGTGAGACAAAAGCATTATTATAATAAGTACTTTTGAATATGAATCTAATAGTATCAAATTTTATGCCACAAAAATTATATTCTAATGAGTAATTGTTGGTCAAATGAAACAAAATACGCCTTATATTTTTGGATAGAGGGAGTACTTGTGATTACTTAGGTACTTAGTATATACTACACCAATTCTGTGTACTTCTCTCTATTGGTTACTTAAAACACTCGTAAATTTAGTACCAGGGGAAAAATTTGTAGTACAAACAAATATAGGGCCTGTTCACTTTGATGCCAAAAAAACCTTACCAAAATTTGGCATTGCCAAAATTTTGGCATAGTTGTCAAAATTTTGGCAACTTACTAAAATTTTGACAGGATTTCTTATATAGTTACCAAAATTTGGCAGCAAACTAAATGTAGCCACTTTTTGGCAACTTCACCAAAATTTGCTAAGGTTGGCCCATAGTGTCAGAGACTTCCACAATCTTTGTATCAAAGCATGCTATTCTATTTCTCCATTGTTTTTATACAGGATATATTTCCCTTCGAACAAATGAATTGCCCCTGTCTTGTCACACGATTGTACAATTGCTGTATGATATCTATATTGTCTGTGATGATTCACAAACTTTTCATTTGTTTACAGGTTGCTGCATTTGTCCCTTTGATGTATATGTGCATTTGCACTTACTACTCACTGTTTCAGATTGGGATGTTAATGTTTTATTCTCTGACTCCGAGACAAACCAGTTCTGTCAGCTTGCTTATGATCTGCTCGTAAGTTTTCTATGTTTTCCTTTTCATACTTGACTTGATTCCTTTACCAAAGCTGTTCACTCATTCTACACTTTGTACCAAATGCTATTCTGCAGAATGGTTGCAAGATATGCACCTCCTATTTCTTATAACTTCCTGAATCTCATTCGACTTGGTGGTGATGCCAAAACTACTTTTGAGAAGGTAAAAGTTGTGCAGTTCTTCTGATATTCGTTTGCTATTTAAAGGTGTTGGTAGTTAACATTGAAAAGGAAATGGTCTACCCCTTTTTTCTTTATTACCATGATATCTTGTACCTGATAATCTTTGAATGGACCTTGTGTTGTAGAGAATGGGAAACATCGATGATGCCGTTCCTTTCTTTGGAAGAGGCTTCAACAGGATATATCCATTATTTATGGTTGTTTATACACTATTGGTTGCAAGTAATTTCTTTGGGCGTTTGATTAACTTTTTCGGAAGCTGGAAAAGGTTCAAATTCCAGCGTGAGGAAGAAAATATGGATGGTTTTGATCCGTCTGGAATGATCATTCTGCAGAAAGGTAACGACTGACTAGATTTGTCTGGGTGGATTCCAGCCCTTTCTTTCTCTTTAGATCATATACTAGCCTTTGTTTTGTTCTTATTCTTCTTACTGCTTGCCCCTTCCGTACACACTGGGACTTTTCTTATTTCTTCTCAAACTAAACACAATGTGTATGTCACCATTCAGTATACATCCTTGTTCATTATTGAAATTAGTGGCTTATCCTATCACTATCACCAATCTCTTTGTATAAACACTGAAAAATCTGGTGCAAGTACTCCCTTTGGTTCTCTGAAAAGCATGTTCCGCTGAAGTGATTTATGCACTTCTCCCGCAGAGAGGTCTTGGATTGAACAAGGATGTAAAGTAGGCGAGCAGGTTATCCCATTGGCAAGAAATTTCAATAATGTCAACACAGATGTTGAATCTGGAAAGGTGCCATTGGTGCGTAAGGATGCTTACTCTGCATTCACAAGCTTGTGTTATTCTATTTTTCAGCTTCCTATTGTTTCTGGCTGAATTATCTTTTGCCGTGTCACTTACTGGCATTTCTCCTTTCCATTCTTTTATCTACATGTTGTACACAGGTTGAAAATACACTGGAGATGAAATCAGGAGCTACTTCCTCTAGAGCTGACGGAAGAGTAGGTCAATCCAAATATGCTAACAACAGAGAAACTATTGCTACCAAGTATTCAGCTATCAGAGAACAGAGCAGACAGGCAGTGAAGCCAGCAAAAAAGGAAATTTCTTCAACTTCTGTATCTTTGCTTGAGGAAGGGAGTTCTGAACAGTGGTCCAATACTGGTGCACCCGTGGGCTCATCAGCTGGAATTTCCCAAACATGGGCAACGATGAAGATTGGTTTTCAGAACTTCAAAGCAAACATGGGTTCCAAAAAATTCATTCCTTTGCGCCAAGACCCAGGATTTGCTCCACATTCAAATGTCTCTTCGCCCGAATCACTTGATGAAATCTTCCAAAAATTAAAACGACGTCCTGCAGATATGCCTGTGGATTACCTTGACGATGATGATGACAATACTGGTGACATGGATCCTACATTCCCAGGATCAACAAGATAGGTTATGATATATTCTTTTAGAAGTTAGAATATGCAAGCTCAGAAATTAAAACGATTTGGTAGCATTAGATGCAGAACAGAAGATACAGGATGTATAGATTAGATGATGGAGGTGGCCTTCTTGGAAGCTCAGGAGTCAGGACGCCTGCCCATCTGGAAAGCTGCAAAGATAAAAGGATGACATGATGATGACAGGTTCTGCCCTACGTGTGCAGAAAGGACAGCAGATTCTCCAAACAAGAGATCATGAGATTATGGGACTTTTCTGCTCTACACATACAGTACATTGTTAACATGTTTTTGTAACACTTTGGTAATGGAGAGGATGTAGTGAGTCGAAGCTGACGAGTGTAAAATGTCTTGGAAAAAAATCACGAATATAATGTATTAACTGAAAAAGAAGTACACACAAATGTTTTTGTGTGGTGGAAATTCCATTTGTCTTGTCTACTGAAACTAAAACGCGTGCATGCTGTGTTGCTGCAATGATCGAAGGAATGCATTTTTACTAGTTCTTCCCTGTTTGGTTCTCGTCGCACGGCACAGGCAAGCCGTAAAAATTGCACCATATACTGCTGAAGTACTGATGCGGGCTGTCTGTTGATTACCAATTCTTTTGTGGATCTGGACAGGGTGACTTGCTTTATGGCTTAGAATAATATATATGATTTTAGCTGTTGTCTGATGTAAATCTTTGAAGAAACGATCATAGATAAGAGAAAATTGCGCATTTACTGCTATTGGTTGGACCACCTGAACAGTTTCATGGGATGAGTAGGGAAGCAAATCCATTGCATGATGAAAAATATAGCAGCCATTAGAAGAACACAACAAGAAAAGCCAAAAATATTTTGTTCTATATATCTGTACGGTTGGATTATTCTTATATAAAATTATATGATATAAATAAGAAAAATAATATTCTCAAGGGATGATGACAATGAGGAATACACTTCAGCTGATATGCTCAAACTTTTGGGAAAAATACCAGTATATATATATATATATACTCCTACAATAGATGCCTATCTGAAATCATTCTCAAGAAACATCATTTCACACTAGCCGGAAGATATATCTACAGTCTCATTGTTTCGTTTATGCTTATTCATTACAAGTCAAAATTTAAATTTTTAAAACTTAATTTGAAAGTAGATCTTATGGTTTTCTTATCAGAGTTTATTTTATACCATTTGTTTTTTAATCACTAAGAACGCACATATAAGGGTCTCTTTAAATCGCGGGAATAAAAAAAAAAGGAGGAATATGAAAAACACATAATTCTGACAGAAATATAAATATAAAATAGATGAATACAAAATACAGGGATTAATCACCATTTGATTAGATCATATGAAAAACATAGGAATCAGATAAAAGAGAGACTCGGAGAAAATTTTCTAAGAGGTTGATACTCTTGCTAAGTTTTTTTTTTCCAAAATCTATATACAATCAGTCATTTCATATGGATTTCATTGGATTTGGAAAACTCCAATCCTTTGTATAAAAGGGTCAAATAGGAAAATTTTCTATAGGATTTGAACCCTATGAAATTCTTACAGAAATATTTTTCAAAGGGACCCTAAAAGTTTTATCTATATATTTTTTTGGCAATAAGCGGTACGGATAAGCATAAGCGAAACTATGGGGGCACTTATATACATTTGAAAGTTGTAAATCAAACATCAGGAAATTCAGCCCCTATCGTTTACACGTACTTATAAGTTGTTGTAAAAAAATTTAATATTATAGTTGTTTTTGTAGTTTTTTTTCTTTACATTGTAGCATTGGATTCTAAATCGTAAAGGATGCATGCATAGAAATTCTACAAATTACTTTTGGTATTTGCTTATCAGCTATGATTAACTTCAGGTCCATGATCTATAATGGTGCAGGCGTAACAGTCGTATGTATAAGCAGGTTAACAAATAGCCACAATATTCAGAAACATTTTTTTGCTATACACAGCAGCAAGAGCTAACCAAAGAATGTCGATCACTGTCATTTTGCTTCAAACCGGCCTGTACAGGATAGACCAAAATCAAACAAAGAAATGAACCAAAACAACCAAAGAGAAAACCGCATCAACAAATCTACTTTTCCAAGTTCCAACCAAACTAGAAAGCCAAGAAGAATTTACAGCGACGCACGCTGACGATCTCATCATCTTGACATCATCGCTTCGCTGCATGCATGCATATGCATTTGCACGGCCTCAGAAAAGGATCCACTTGGCCGCCGCCGTGGTGCTCCTCTCCTGGTCCAGCGTCTTGGAGTGCGCCATCGAGCACCCCTCCTTCTTGCCTCCGCCTCCGCCCACCGTCGCGTGCAGCAGCTTCGCCCAGAAGCTCCTCGCCTGCCGCCGCCTCTCCCGCATCCGCCTCACCACGCTCGCCACCTCGTCGCTGTCCAGCAACACCCGCTCGTTCCTCATCAGAAGCGACAGCCTCCCGCCGCCGCGGCCGCCGGCCGCCACCATCTCCCGGTGGAACCGCGCCGCCCACGGGCTGCTGGACCCTGACGCGGCCGACGACGAAGCGTCGCTGGACGCCTCACTCGACGACGAGCAGCAGGACGACGCCTCCTCCTCCTCGCCGCGCACGACGGACGGCAGCGACGCCGACGCCGACGCCGAGGCGGACATCAGGTGGGACAGGCGCTCCCGCAGGCAGGGCGCGCAGACCCCCGCGCCGCCGCCGCCGCCGCCGCCGCCACGCTGCCGGTGCCGCCGGCACCTCGCACCCTCCGCCGCCTTGTTCTTCCTCCCCATCGCCATGCCAAGAATCCTAGGATGCCGATCGATTTGCCGCCCGCGCGCTCGTCTATTATTATCGGCTCATCCGCTCGTGCAGCAGCTAGGCGACGTCGCTGTGTGGGGGCGGGTGCACATATACGCGGGTGGTTGGGCTCGCGCGCGCGGGGAGCTTCGCGGATGTTGCACTTGCACGCGAGTTGTGGCGGGATTGCAATGCGATCCGGGGTGGTGGTGTCGTTGGACTTTTTCCCGCGTTGCGCTCGCGCCTCGGCTGGGCTGGCTGCCTGGCTGCGGTCGCGGTGCCGGTGCGGTGTGGAGCGGGAGCTGGCTGGGTCCGGGTTGGCGGCGTGTGCGTGCGTACGGGGGCGGGCTGTTTCACGTTTTCGACGAAAACCGATCGAAAATTGGTCGATTTTGGGAAGGTGGATTCTAAACAATCGAGTGGATGTCCACTTATTAAGTGCATGTCAACTAAATGATTATAAAAAATTTTTAAAAAAATTACAAGATAGATTGATATATAATATATCACTACACAAACATACAACTTAAAATTTAACTTTTATAAGTTGTAACAAAAATAACAAATCAAACTTACATATTTGTGGGGTGATATATTACATATAAATCTATCTTGTCAAATTTTTTGAATTTTTTTCAAACCCATTTAGTTGACATGCAACAAATGGGTGAATGTCCACCTAGGTGATTAAAAGTGTTTTCTCGATTTTGGGCTTCGGGGGTTTTGACATGGGACGAAAGCAGATTTTGAGTGAAATTATAAATGGTTTCCCAGGAATTCAAATTTAAAGCAGTAAATTTGATCAAAATTCAATTAAAATGTGTTACAGTTTCGCGAAAACCGTCATCGTGATCGGACACTCAACCAGAAATGTGAACTACCCTTCGTCGTCGCAGCAGCAGTAGTACTTTACTAGTACGGTTTTGCCTTGATTGTTTTTTTTTTGAAACTATTCTAATTACTCGAGGGGACGTTCTCTCATTTGCTTAAAAACCATCTAAACGGTTATGAAAAATTCTAAAAAAATTTGACAACATTCATATAACACATATATACATCTCCACAAAATCTTAAGTCCAAACTCAACTCACACGTCGAGATATAAAAAAGACAAATTCAGCGTATGAATAGGAGCGTACTGTTTATATCTAAATTTGTCTTTTTTGTTTCTCGATGTGTAGATTAAATTTGAACTTGAATTTTGGTGGACTAGTAGGTATCATTATACTCTACATTGTCAATTTTTTTCAGAATTTTACACAACTATTTGCATCGAATTTAAAAGGAAAGGGTATACGAGGATTAGAATCCACTCCCTTTTTTTTTCGCTAACTTTTCTGATCCTGTTTTTTTTTTCTTCATTTTCTTTTGCAATTTATCTCGTGTTTTGTTTTGTGTAATGGGGACTTTTTGGAAGCTTCCGATCCTGAATCTGGGATGAGTGGGTGACTTTTGGTGATGGATCGATAAATTCCTTCGGTGCCACGGCGGGGAATTTCGCTTCATTCTCTCTTTCGTTGGGTTCCTTTCCTTTTGAGGCTTTGACCTTTTGTAATGATGTATGGGAAGTCTGGTGGCTGCCCTGTATTTGGAGTTGTTTGCGTGCTGTCACACCTGCCGGCAGCTGAAACTTCTGTGTGGATTTGGTGGCGGAAACAATATACTAATAGTAGAGCTCTGGAGGAAAACCATAGAAAATTAACATGCCAAGCACATATAATAAATTTTAATACAGAGGAGCTAAGTGACCCTTCTCCCTGGGATTAATTGGTGCACCGTGCACCACCGGGCGAGCACTTCATGTAAGATGTAGCTTAATTTCATTGTATCTTGGAGGTGTTTGATCCATGGTCACACTTTGCCACATCATGTTTTTACCACCATAATTTGTTAGACATGTGTTTGGTTTACTGTCACAGTTATAAATTGCCACATTTTATCAATAGCATGTCTCACACGTCATGGACTCTATTTTCTTACCAATTTTGCCACACTTGACTCCATTTTCTTATCAATTTTGCCACACTTAGTGACTAGCAATAATGCACCATGTTTTTATGGTTGCCACAATTTGCCTAACCTTGGCTATGGTAAAGTGTGGCCAGCAACCAAACACACCTTTTGTCCGGGTTCCAATTATTCTCACTGTTATAACTTAGGATATGATATGATATATTATAGAACAATGAATCTGAATATATCATATCATATTATATCCTAGATTGATTTTTTTAACATTGAATGAATACTAAATTTTAACTTTAGGAGTTAGATATGGAGTGGAGTTACAAAGTAAGTTAAACACATCTTCACATCTCTAATTTATTTTGTTAGCGCGCTATAATCTAGTCAGCTTGATTTTTTTTTGGATAAATTTTAAACCGTTTGAGTGAATTTTAGCAAGAAAAAAAAAAAGAAGCTAGAGCTAAAGCTAGACCACTACCAAAACATATCATAGTTTTTGGCACTCTGCAGTGAGAAGCATCAACTGATCAACATGCTGGAAAAATGGAAAATCAAAGCAAAGTGGGTGTACATTTCCAGGCGAAGTTGCAACACTCGCAGGTGGCAACCAGCTATTGGAAAAAGGAAAAAAAAGCAGGATAGGCTAAAAAGCCTGGAGAAACCCATACTATAAAATAAAATTCACTTTTGGTGGGGGGAAGATACAAACGCAAGATGGTACGAACGGGTCGTTGTTTACAGATCGAGCCGGCATCTTTACGTCACTCCAAGCACGCAAAGCCATGGACTGGAGACCAAGGCGTCGGTGAGGCGACAGCGAAGGAGGAGGAGGCCGCGAAGCAGCCGCGAAAAACGGCGAAGAATTCTTCGATGCGATCGAGTCTCGTACCCCCTCGTCTCGGCTGCTGTCACGTGAAAGAGAGAGGAGGGAGGCCCTGATGTTTTCTGAAGTAGAGACGTGGTCAGGCTCCGGGTTCAAAGGAAGCGGAAGACGAGGCCCATGGTTTCGTGCTGGACGGCTGGACCGGTGGTCTGAATTCAAATGACAAAGGCGGAACAAAGTTTGTCTTGTGCTACTCGTTTCAGGAATTTGTGATGAAACTTCAATGATATCTATACAGGATTTTGCGCGGACGAGGAACGTACGAAGCCATGCTTTGCTGATTTGGTTGGAAATTTCTTCACAGCTTGAGCATGAGCAGGGCAAGTTTTGCACTCGGACCACTTGTTTAGCAACTCAAAATGTATGCTGTCTTTCAATGTCAACAAGATTAACCTCGAAAAAAAAGGGGTCTGCAGGATAACCTCGAAAAAAATGTCTACAGGATAACTGGATAAGGTCTAATTTTATTTTCAGGCTGTATGTTTCTCCTGTAAAAATGGTCTTCCCTCAAAAAAAAGAAGATAGCTCATTAGTGTATACTTATTTAAATATTAGCTTAAAAACTTTGGAAAATAAATTTATATGTTTTTTAAAGTATCTTTTAAAACACACTTTGTTTATAGTTTGAAAAGCGTGCTAATGAAAAAAGAGAATAGAGGTTGAAAAGATGGAGTACGAAACACACCTTAACCTACTACCATGCCACAGGCCCATAACAGTTCGAAGGACTCCAACATTAGCAGGATTCTAGGTAGAATTGTTTTTAAAGTAGTATCGAATTGTAGGATTGTATCATGTTAGCGGGATATTATAATATTTTCTTTTTTAAGTTTAATTTAATATTTATATTAATTATGTATAGTCTATAAAAAATAGAGTAATAATAATATATAACATAAAGAGATAGATTTATCCAGAGAAAATCACCTATTAGTGCCATTAGTTTTATTTGACATTGATTTTAAAGATACATGAAAGAAATACATTCAGAAGTTAGGATCCAGAGTGAAAAGTTTTGGCGTGTTACATTGGATATACGGACACACATTTGAAGTATTAAACGCATATTAATAACAAAACAAATTAAAGATTTCGCCTGTAAATTGCGAGACAAATTTATTAAGCCTAATTAATCCGTCATTAGCAAATGTTTACTGTAACACCATATTGTCAGATCATTTGGAGCAATTAGGCTTAAAAGATTCGTCTCGCAATTTACACGTAATTTGTGTAATTAGTTTTTTTCCTATATTTAATACTCCATGCATATGTATAAATATTCGACGTGAATGGGTGAAAATTTTAACAGGGGATCTAAACATGCCTTCAATATCCTGGTCCTTACGTGACTCTAACGATTCTATGTTCTGTACCCCGATACAAGCACGATACCATCTGAAAATGAATCCTGGAAGCGGTATGTACCATTTCGTCCGCATGGTATCCTAGCTAGCACCATACGGCACTACGATACGTGTGCCGATTAGGGATGAAAACGGATCGAAAACGGACGGAAACTAGTTTTATCATATTCGTTTTCATTTTTTTTTCGGAATCGAAAACTCGGATACGGAAATAAAATCGAATATTATCGAATACAGATACGGAGCGAATACGAGACGGAACGAATACGGTAGCGAATATTTACCGGTATATAAAAAACCTCTCAAATTGAGTTTCTTGATAAAGGAAGAGATATCGCTTATTATTTTAGTTCAACATCTCCAACATTTATATCGTCAATTTTGTAGACGGTTCCACAACTGTATGTAAAAAATCGATTTTCATGGCTGTCCCTCTAAGAGATCCATATGCAAATATGATTATCATTTTCTATTCCCAAGACCTTTTACTAGATGTATAACTTACTTACCATTGTATAAATTGGAGATGTTATTTATTTTACTTCGCATCTTCGAAACTTGTAATGTTTGTATTATACTTTAAATGATTTCAAATACAAATGTTATAAACTACAAAGTGGTAGATCCCGTTGAGCTCTACAATTTTGATATGGAACACATCCCCATCAGATGTCGTTTGAATTGTAGATATGAGATTTTGTAAAAATTAATATGGTATATTATAATGAATATTTAGACCCTTAAATGACCTCAAATAATAAAATAGTCAATAATAAAGTTGTAGATCTCATCGAGCTTTACAATGTTGATATAAAATTTGTCTTCATCTGATTCCGTATGAAAAAGTTATGCATATATACGTGTTTTTTTCTAAAATTTGCTCAATATCAGTGGATATCTGAAAAAAATTATGGATAGTTTCCGACCGTTTTCCGATTCCGACGGATAGTACTCTT